GCTCTGTATGAATTTCATTGGATATGCACCTCACATCTTTATTTCTCCATCTACTGAGGAGAATTTGGTTGTTTCTATGTTGGCTACTTTGAATCATGCTGTAATGAATGTGAGATTGCAGAAAACCCTTAGATCTTATTGCATTTCCTTGGATATATGCCCAGAAATGGGACTGCTTCACCTTATGACAGCTTGGTTTTTAATTTTTAAAGGAACCTCCACAGTATTTCTTATGAGGGCCATGCCAGTTTATATTGCCACCAACAACACACAAGGGTCCCCTTTTCTTCTCATCCTTGACACCCCTAGTTATCTCTTGATTTTTTTGATGACAACCATTTTCATAGAAGTGAGGTGATCTCACCATGGTTTTGCTTTGCATTCCCTGTGATGAGAGATACTAGGACCTTCCTCATATACTTTTGGCTACTTATATGTCTCCTTTTGAGATTTGATTGAGATTCTTGGCCCGTTTTCAAACTGGTTATCTCTCATCACTGAGTTCTATGAATTCACCATTTTGGGTATTAACTCCTTGTAAGATATAGTCACTGAGTGTACGTACAAAAAGTTAGCCGGAACACCGCTAGGCAGTAACATCTTATGAGAATGCCATCGTATATGTGGTCAGACAGGAAAGTCAGCATGCAGTTATGTGATAGCAAAAATTATGTAAGAATAATTTACATGTCCTGTAACTTTGGCTTGGCTGATTGTTTCCTCAGCGTGCAGCAATGCTGTGGACTGATATGGTCCTGTGGGTTTTATTTGGCTTTTGTTGCTGTGAATGTCAAATCCACTAAAGCCATCAACAGGCTGATAGCAAGAAGTTTCCCCCCCCCTCAATATTTTCTCCCAGGAGTTTTACTTATTTCAGATCTTATCTTTAATTCTTTAGTGTATCTTTGTTTTTGTGTATGATATTTTTTTTTAAAATTATACGGGTTGCCTTCCAGCATATTCCCTTCCAGCCAAGTTAATTTTCATTAACACATTCTAGTAATTCTTTTCATGATAATGGCAAAGTGAAAATTCCAGTCTGCAAAAAACTGCCACCTGAAACCTTGCCCTGATTCACAGAAAGCTGAGATGGTTCATCTTCACCGTCAACTTGACTAGACTGAGAATCACTTAGGAAACACACCCCTGGTCCTGCCTCTGAAGGTGTTTCCAGAGAACACTGATGAATATAGGTGGGGCCTATCCACTGCTTGGGCTCTCACACTGAATAAAAAGGAAAGCGGGAGAAAGGATGAGCGCCAACATTCATTGCTCTGATTCCTGGCTCTGGATGCAGTGTGACTAGCTATCTTACATTTCTGCTGCCGTGACTTCCCCTCCTTGATGGACTCCTTCAACCTAGGAGGCCAAATAAGTCCCCTTGTTTGAAGTTGTACTTGTCGGTGTTTTTGTCACAGCAACAAGTTCAGTAACTAACAAAGACATTGGTATTGAGGAATGGGGCCAGTGCTGTGATGGAGCTGATCATGTGGCTTGTAGACTGTTGGAACTGGTTGGTGGGAAGGCTAAAAGAACTTGGAGAGGTTGGGAAGGAAGCCCTACAGTGCCATCAACAAAGCTTAATGGGCTCTTCTAGGAAAAAAGTGGACAGAGGAGGTCCAACACAGGATGGCATAGAAAGGAACAAGATTAAACTAGGAATGAGGCTAGAAGATATTTGTGTTATATTCTGGCAAAGAATCTGGCTGCATTGTGCTTGTGTCCAGAAAATTTGAGTGAGCCTGGAATTCAAGAACAATGGATTAAATTGTTTTGTGGAGGAAATCTGAAGACAGTATAGCATGTAGGCTGGGCTGTGATTATTTCTTAGTACAGGTATTCAGATTTACAATGAAAAAGAGCAGGAAGTGTAGAAGAAAGATCTTAAAAATATTATAGAGATTAACACACCCAAGAAACTTCACACTTTGCCCTGGGTCTATGGGAATGGTTCCCTGAGGGCAAGACCCCATCATCCAAAGTTGGAATTTGTAGAATTAATTTAGAAGGAGAAAACTTGAATTGAGAATGGTGCTAAAGGCGTCATCTATTGGAAAATAACTGCCTTGGAAAATACTTCCCCATGGTCAGCCACCAAAGTCCTCATAGGTCACTACGGTTAAGGCAGAGGGGAGCTGGCAGCAGAACTTAACAGTGTTGTCCACCTAGTGGTGGTTTCCAGGCATGTAAAATGCAAGAATTCCTGGGTAATTAAGTCTTACATCAAGGTTCCAAAAAGTGGTGGGGCTAGCAGTGTTTGGCAGAGTTGGATTCCTTATCAGGAGGCTCTAAAAGCCATTGCTTAGAACTGTGAAGCCTAAGTTGCAATGAAGATACCAGGATGGTGGAGTTGCCAAAACCATTGGCTATCTTTTGAGGATAAATGGGCCTTATGTGAAAAAGCCCAAAGTGAGGAGGATACATGAGATGCAGTTTACAAAACTGGAAATGCAGAATTAATTCAAGCTTTTGGATCTCAGATTATGCCACTGAAAACCCTAGATGCTAGGCGATGGAGCTGTAGGGCTTTTTTTCTTTCTCTTGGGTATTGGTCTTGCTTGATCAGTCTTCCCTTGCTATCTTCCCATTCTTCCCATTTAGAATGGGAACATGTACTCTATGTCACTGTATATTGGAAGTACATAACATGGAATTTTGGTTGTGGAGAGGGTGATGATTAAAAAAATACCTTAAGTCTTAATTAAGGTTTTGGACTTCTGCTTTGGAACAAAGCTAGAATTGTTACAACTTAGTGGATAGATGGATAGATTCTTGTTGTCAAATGTTGGGCTCATGATGGTTCACCGTCTAGTGCATGGATTGAGAGCACCTATGAGAGACACCTCTGAGCTTATCTATGAAGGTGTTTTTAGAGAACTTAACTGAGAAGGGAAGCCCCACTCTCAATGTGTGTGGCATCATGGATGTAGGTCCAACAAACAGGAGAAAGCAATCATTTCTCTCTGAATCGTGTCTGTGAATCTATACAGCTATTTCAAGTTCCCTCCACTATAATGTCCCCACCATGGTGACTATATCTTCAAACCATGAGCTTAAAAAATTCTTTCTGTATTAAACTGTGGGATTTTTTAATTTTTGGTATGGCTATTTTGCAAAACAGCAAGAAATTAACTAATAAAACTGTATACACAAAAAGCAAAGCTTGAGATTAAAATCATAATACCATAAGAGTAATAGTGAAAGGTAGAAAATATAAGCAAGGTAAAGTTACCCTTAATTTCCATCCTAATTTCTATTTACATTTGTTTTTCTCTT